TGGTAGCAGTCATAACTAACACAATTCAACACGACTTATTTGCGCGCAATTTTAACACCCTGGTGGATAGCAATTGTAGCCTTGTGAACCAATCGTACTTTTTTGGGCTGCACGGGCAGAAAAGTTAAGTATAATTATGTTACCTACGGCCATTACTCTGTCCAGCTATGCCTGTTAAATGTACTGTTATTTTCCTGTGGCTTCGTGCCCTTGTGTCCGGATCATGACTTAAAATTGTATGGGAACGTCGACGAATAAAAAAATGATAGCGGCTGCCATTTCGGCCACCAAATATTTACTGCTTATATATATACACACACACACACATATATATATATATATATATATATATATATATATATATATGTATATACACACACATATATATATATATATATATATATATATATATATATATATATGTGTGTGTGTGTGTGTGTGTGTGTGTATGTATGCGCATGTGTATCTGTTAATGGCCAATGGTGCCTCCTGGGTATCCTCAGAGTACAGGGGACCCGTTTCAAGAAACATTCTATGCAGGGCAAAATTCTGTGTCCGCATCTGAGAGGCGCAGTCCATGCGGCTCATGTTATCTTCGTGTGTGAACCGTTATTTTCTTCACTTTTAGACACCTGGGGAATATCTGCATAGCCCTCCCCAAACACACATTATACTCTGGTTGTTGGCATACATAAACTTATGAACCATCTGCACCTCTTTTTTGTTGCGATGCACTATCGAAAACATATACCTAGTAATGCCCCCGCAGCACACCAGCAGTGCGCAGTTTGTGTTGCAAAAATGTCCGGCAACAATTGTATTCTACCATCTCAGAGACATCAACAAACAGCTAATCTCCGGGTCTGTCTCCCCGGACCGAGTTTATCCACTCCTATGTAGAGTTGACGTTGTCCAGCGTCGAATTTGCTGGAGCCGAGCACACAAAGTCGAGTGTCTCTGTGCAGTTGGCCGTGCCCCAGCCGCCGTTGCCGTCGGCGTTGGTCACGACACAGCCGAGCCACCCGTCCGCCGGCTGCCCAGCCGCCCAGTGGGCGTACTCCAGGGCACCTCCGTCGGCCCACCTATATTGTCGCCGTCGCGGGTCAGGCCGATGAAGGCTGGCGTGCCGTAGGTCAGTGACGTCACGGCTCTGTTGGCGGCGGCGTCTCGGACGAGTGCGAGGCGCGCGTCCTGAGCAGCCACCTCGCACCAGACCACCGCCTCCTCGTGACTCGCGGGGAACAGCTCGCGCCAGTAGCAGAGCCCGTGCACGACGGGTGCGTCTGTTGGACACGCGGCACTTGCTCCGCCTGTCGAAAGCAGCAGCAACAGACAGGCGACCGTTGCGAACATCCCGAGAGAATCGTCCACTTTCGGAGGAACCACTGCGCGGGGGGTCGGCGGAGCCACCCGGCGTCAGCTGTCGCCGTCACAGGCCGAGGGAGACGTCTGAACACGCACGAGCGGTTTGCCAGTCGTGTTCTTGTCTCGGGATGTGGATAAGCAAATAAACTTGAGAAATATGCGAGTGAGATAGTCAGGAAGTAAATGTTCGAGTTCACACCTGAATAAACGGGGCTGAGAAAATTTAGCAACAAAAAAGCTCTTAAATAATTTCTTACTGTGAATTATTGGGAGATTAGAGTGTGGGTTGAGCGAAGGCAACCTCTAAAAATTTCCAGACCACAAGCACATCACAATTTTACATGTTATGTAAACAGACTTGTTGACAGCGCGATATCAGTATATATCCGTGTTGGCACAACTGTCGCACTCCCATGCGTTCAAAGTTCTCCGACCGTTTTGACGAAGACGCCCACGTGTGGCGTCGGCGCTGACATTCCACGGCACACGCCTCTGACCAGCCTCCCTCCGTTCGAATTGTCCTGGTTCCCCTCTCACATCGTGGCGCGATCACCCACATCGCGGCGTGATCATCCACATCGTGGCGCGATCATCCACATCGTGGCGGGATCACTCACATCGTGGCGCGATCACTCACATCGTGGCGCGACATCGCGAAAGTCGCGCTATTGTTCCATTCACCGTCGCAGCCATGCGCTGACCTGGTAGCCACTCTTCCGTCGCTGCTGTGGGAGCGGGTACTGCGCGCCTCTCCCCGGCAGGCGCGACGGTGTCCGGCATGTCCTCCCTCAGGACGGAGAGCGCCACCTCCGATCATGGCATTGTCACTATCCTGTGCCGGGGCGTGGTGCGGAGAGGCAGCGTGAGACTCGCGTCCCGACGAGGCAGCTAACCGGGCTGTGGCGTTACTGGCGGTCGGCCGGCATTCATCGGCCTGAGCAGCAGCAGCGGGGAATACCGGAGGCCCTGACGACCGACGAAGTACGCTCACTAAGCGGGTGGCCGGCCGACGAAGGAGCAGCTGAAGCACGTTATCGTCAACGACAACGGCGACTGAGAGGTGAACATCTGCACGGAACCTCCAACTTTGTTTGCTGGGCACCGGCAGAATGAGATTAGGATGGCGCAGATGCGACTGATGGCACGTATTGGTCCCCATAACGTTTAGTGTGCACCATCGCTTTATCCAAAATTACAGTGCCTCAATGATGTTTTGCCAAGATATTGCGTACGTCAATGAGACTACGTTTAGAGGTGTGAGGCTGCGCGAAGTCCACGTGGAGGAAAAGCGACATGCCTTCTCCAGTTCGAGAAAGTGTTGACTCTATCTTCCGGCCTCTCAATCGTATACGTGATTAGACAATTCGCAACCGTCTGTGAAAGTGCACTGCCTATTGATTCCCATTGGTCCGCGCGTGACCGGACCGAATGGGAGGGTATCAGATGAATAACACACCCCACTCTTGCGCATACCCATTTCAATGACCGCGTAAAATTAAATTAATTGAATTAACGTCTACGACCTCTGGTTCCTTTGTCTCAAAACTGTCTTCCAGATTCCAGTCTGTAGTTGCGAATACAGTTATTTACGCAAGTTGTCAGCATTGTCCAATGATGTGAGGACCACACGTATTTGGATTCACTCTTTGCTGGTAAAGGGAAAGCCAAGCTACTAAATTTAGCAATTGTTTGGCCGTTCCTGACCCACATCACGTGACAAAACGGCGCGTGTTTCTTATTTTGCAACAGCGTGGCAAATGTGGCAAAGCCCTACCAACTCCGCTGCGTGTATTATTAGCCATTGGTTGAGCAAGCAGATAACATGTAAAAAGTGAGCAGATATTCTATAAAAAGCTGGCATGCAAGCAGGAGACCAACAACAGACTAGGCAACAAGCAATACACGCTATCCGAACGGCGACTCTCCGACAGCGGGGGCCGCGAGCCGGGGCCGTGCGAACTGCGGCGGCGGCGCGCGTCTGCCGCGCGGCCGGAGCCGGCCTGCGAACCTGACCACGTGCCGCGCCCCGTCCCAGCAGGGGCGCAGGGCGCATACAACTGCACTACGAACACCTTTCCAAGCGGTCACCAATGTCCCCACTAGAATCAGAAGCCTTGAACTAGAATAAACTAGAATAACCCTGTGAATTCTCTAGCAAGGCTAACCGTACATTTCCCACCACGCGCACAGCGACGAGTCTACCTCGCGACGTCACCGCTCTCAGCCCCATCTGTCGGGGCTACCCTCGACCACCGACGTCGGCCCACACGGCCGAATACGCACGCTCATACCGCAGCGCAGCCAGGGCGCGCATGACGCCCGTGTTCACGGGTCTCGTGCACACAACACAGGGCAGACCGTGCTGCAGGCAGAGCTGTGTCAGGTGCGCTAGCACTAGCCGGCCCAGGCCGCGCCGCCGCTGCGTCGCCAGCGTGTGCAGGAAGCCGATGCCGCCGTTCCTGTCTACCACAGCCCAGGACATCAGCCGCTCGTTATCAAGTGACGACAATGAAGATGTTGCCGACGACGATGCTGAAGACGATGCTGAAGGCGATGCTGGATGCGATGCAGAGGGCAAAGCTGACGGCAAGACCGGAGGGGAGGTCTGTGACGAGATCGGCGCGACTGCCGAAGCTGATGCTGTTGACGATGGCGGAGGCGATGCCCCGTGGCTGAACGCACCGGCGGAAAGGCCCCGTAAAACGCCGTCTCTGATGATGCCGTCGACGCCCGGGACGTGGTCGGAGTACTCCCAGAAGCGCTTCACTTGGTCCACATGTCCCTCATTGAGCGGGCGGATGACGACACCGGCTGGGCTGTCGGCAGAGGGTGGGCGCAGCGGATGGCATCGTGGTTTCGAGAGCTGTTTTGTGCTGATAACTTAGCTCGTGTTCTACTGATAACCGCACCAAAAGACGGCGTAAAAACATCACAGCTGCCCTCAAAACGAACACATCACAACAGTAGAAGCGGGTAGAAACGGAAGGGAAAGCAGTGGAGCTAGCTACACGCCCCCAGAGCCAAGGCAGCAGTGTAGGGGTAGTTTGTCTTACTTTTAAGCTCTAGAAAACATGCCTGACGTTTCACCCCATCTACCAGCCATCAGTCGCAATCCGTGCAGAACGAGACTTCTTCATAGCATAATTGCATGCCTTCGTTTATAGTCTGAATAGCTATGACAACATCTTATGCCATCAAAAACAGCGAGCGTGTGAGCTTATTTTGAGGCAAACTTAAGCGTTCTCTACCCAGAACCCACTTCCCGTAGAACTCAGATATGTATGTTGCTCGGCTTCGGTTATTCCTGCTCGTTCAGTCTCCCCAACATAATGCACATATTCGTAAGACTAAAGGTGGACGCATGGAACTTGACATACCATTTGGATAACGGAATACGGACACGGATGAATAACGGGACCCTTGTCTTACACACAGCGGCGGATCAAGCCAGCTGTCCGGGAGGAAAGGGTAAGCCTGCGTATGCGCATGCCCGGCGGGCCGACCCATGCTTCAGCCAGCCAGCCTCCCGGAATATAATGTGTATTGGAGCATCTGGGAGTCCTGCTTACTGGCTACATCCCAAACTCTTACATCCTGGTTACTGATTACATCCCATCCCATCCCACGAAGTCCTGGTTACATCCCAAACTCTTACCTTCGGCCCAGAAATGACACCAAAATCCTGACGCCAGCCACTTCCACTCGCTTCCCCGTGGCCAGATTCCCCGGTGGAAGACCCTAGCCACTCCCACGTGCCCGTTCTGAGTGCGGGAGGCCGCCTGTGTCCCGCTATGACCACACCTGACCTACCATTCAAGCACGTGCTCCGGCGGCTGGCAACTCTCCTGCACGAAGAGGTCAAACGGCGCGAGCCCGTCCCACGTGAGGCCTCGTTCCTCGGCGGCCGTCCTCAGCACGTGTGCCACGTGCAGGGGCACGCCGTCGGCGGTGAAGGGCGTGCCCCAGAGCTGGAGGCCCGGGGCGCGCAGGGCCGCGGCCAGGCACCGCAGGCTCGCCGCGTCCTCTCGTGCGAACACGCCCAGCGCGTGATGGCCGTGCCACTGACGCTGGGGGCGGAACAAGGGCTGGCGTTAGCCGCGACGGAACCAGGCGGTGGACTGGGCCACCGCCGACCGAAACGGGGCGGAGGTGACGGCACTGGCGCCTGAGCAGGAAGAGCGAGCGGCATTGTCGCACGCTAATTGACTACCCTAGGTGTAATCGCCGGAGATACTGAAGTGACTCGCTGGGATATGCAGATCAGTGCACATATGAGTCCATAGGGGGAATAAGAGAACAAGCCCCACGTGAAAACACCCTTGACGGGAAACGGACCGAACACCGAATGTCGCGAATGGACTTTGGAATCACAACTGCGTGGCTTACCTCGCTCATGCGCAAACAGAACCAGATCATTAGGTGTTCAAAGTTACAAGGTGCAATGGAATGCCTGCAGGGCCAGGGACCTTGAATGGACAGGTAGAAAAGGTAGAGTTACCGCCATGCTCACCAAAATTGGGCGAGAGGCAGGCGACGCCATACAGCCTCAGCAGATGAGTGCGTCGTAAAGCCCCAATGACACACCCACCCACGCACGCACGCACGCACGCACACACACCCACGCACCACCCACGCACGCACACACACACACACACACACACACACACACACGCACACGCACGCACGCACGCACGCACGCACGCACACACGCACACACGCACACACGCACGCACGCACGCACACAAGCCAGTGGTCCTCACCTCGACACTATCATGAACTGGTTAACACTTGCGGAAGTATCCAAGGTGCTAATTATCGGTAAATTATTTGACTACTCCTTCAGCGTCGTGCGTCACTGGCCATGTGGCGCACGTCGTCCAGAGATAGCCACACCCATAGTCCGGTCATTAAGACTCTGTTTATGTTCCATGAGCGAACTTACCGTAATTGTTATGACGACCAGGGGCTGACCAGACTCTTGGCTGGCATAGATGCGGCAGGGACATGTGTTGACGCCGCTCTGTAAGAGCAGGAGCAGACACCGACTCTGGAGGCGAGAAAGTGCGTCACAGTTACTGGATCACCCTTAGCAGGGGCACCACAACTTATGAAACGACTCGTTCCGCTCGAAAGTGGTTTGGCATTCGTGTGGTGCTATGTATACGAGGCGGCAAGCGGACGTATGCCCTGGGACATAGTTCAACTCCCACGGCTTTGTGTTGATGGCCCCCACAACGCTTCGTGTACCAATCAGCAACCGGCATCCGGCCAATCAGCCAATTCGTGCTTCGCTGATTGGCGAATCAGTGACCGGCATCAGACAAGCCGCAAACTCAAGCGTTTTAATGACCATGATGACGATTTGGGATTCTAGGGTGCGTCGAACCCGAGATAATGCTGCGCCCATAACGGCTGTTTACGACTGTGTTACGTTTTAACTAGCAATGAACAAATACAGCTGAAAACTTGATGCCTCTTCGAAATAGCTCAAGATGTCTAAGGTGCGGACAAACATCGACCTGAACCTGAACCTCGGTTAATGCAAACAAACATGGACCTGAACCACCGGTTAATACTCACAGACTACCTACCTGCGACAACAATCACTGACAAACCTTTGCACCATGCACTCCATGCTCCTGAAGACGCTCAATCAGGCAGCCAATGTCGGCCACGCTCACTTCTCGCAGAGGCGACTCCACTTCGGCGTCCATCGCGACGCTCGCGCCGTCCCGGCCGCCGACGCCGGCACCAGAAGCCCTCTGACGGACGCCTGTCGCAGCCCTGGTCTGGCGGACGCCTGGCGCAGACCAGACGCCCACCGCAGCCACCAACGGGCCGCCGGCCGGCCTGCCGCCCCCCCCCCCCCTTCCCTCAGTGTCTTATTTGATCTGTGTATTAGTGTAGTCACCGTATCACGAGATGTTCCCCCTTAGGGTTGTATGCCCACTGTGTGGGTACCATTGATCCTTATTTGATCCGTGTATTGGCGCAATCAAATGACAATCACCACGAGATGTTGCCCCCATTGCCTGAATTGTGTGCTACTGATTCTCATCTAATCCGTATATTGGTGTTATCACGCGACAATGATCAAGAGATTCCCCCTTCCCCTTTTTTCTGCTGGCGACACGTGTGCACGTGTTGTACTGATTATTATCTGATCGGTGCAGTAGTGAAATCATATGGAATCAACACGAGATGTTCCCCCCACCCCCGGACTGCTTGTAGCACTCCGGGGTGTAGCCCCCGCCCCTTCCCTTGGCTGGCCGGCCGGCTGTGGGTTTTCCCCTCCCTTCCTTGTCCATTGTCTTTGGACAACCGCGGCCGTCTCGTCTGGCCGCGGTGAGGTCGCCGAAGGCACACCGCCCTTGCGGCTACGATCCTGCGCCGCGTTTCGGCGCCGCACGCTCGCCGTGCACCTGGGCGGTGTCAGCGCGTGATGTGTTATCAGTGTGGCTGCAATCCATGCAGCGTTTAACGGGGCCTGAAGCGGCCCCCGCCGACGGCCTGCCCCCCGCCCCTGCTCACCATGGGGAGGGAGGGGAACCCGCGCCCCACCCCATTGGCGGCAAGCTGCGCCGTGCCGTGGGGTTATGAGGATATATTGTATTAGTTTGTAAAAACATTGTGTCGCGTGTACAGGCACCCCAGAGCCTGGAGCGCATCCGTTTTTCTTTTTCCTATTCCCTGTAATCAAACATGTACTTTGACGAATAACAAATCTGTTCTTATCAGCTTAATATCTGATACGTCCCCTACATGGTGACCAGAATATTAAACTGATTTTGAACACTGGCGGGGTTAGTGGAGCTTGCTCCCGCCCTGCCGCGGGTTGGCCTGGCATTGCACTACAGCCAGGATCGGCCCATTTTATGCTGTCAGCGGTGTCAATAAATCAATATGTTCTAATACATGTATAATCAGTATGCGTTTCAATATGGGTTGGCGCTTATGCTGCATGCGCACCGCTGCTGGCGCACAGCCAACACGCATCACCTCAGATGCCTCGCCCGATGCCAGCTTGCTGCGGTTACATGCAGATGACACGCATCCGCGTAACAAAACCCTGCACAAACACACAATGGCGAGAGCCAAACAACAAAATCAATGAATACATGACAAAACAACGAGAAACAGACCCCAAAAAACAAAACCAACACAAAAAGCAACAACAGCCATCAAATTTCAACACCATGGCGACGGGCGAAAGCACATCATTGACAACAGCTCAAAGCCGGCCGATGCCATGTCACCAACAGCGCGTGCCGTCAGGCCGGCAACATGCAGCGCCAACGCATCACAGGGTTGTACAAGCCAACGCGATACAGACGAAGCGCCTGACAATGACCATGGCCGCCGGCTGTCCATAACAGTTTTGCACGCCCCACGGCCAGATGTCTCTGTCGGCGGCGTGACATTCACGCATCGCCTGCAGGTCGGCCAATGGTCGGCTGTCTGCCCTGCTCCAGCGCACGAGCACCGCAGCCGGAGGCCGTGCGCCCTTGCTGGCCTGGCGCCGTTGCTGGCCCGTTCCACACCTGCGTGGGTGTCTTCGCTTCCGAAGCGCGGCCGCCCTGTACCACGTGACTCGGCACGACGCCGCGCTCAACTTGCAACAAGACGGCAACAGAAGTCGGCAAACTATAGGTGACATTTACACATCGCGCGACACTCGGAACAGAGAATGTCCACGTTTACCTGCCGAAGGGGATGCAGGTTTCAGAAGAGAAGGTGAGAAGAAGTGAGAAGGTGAGGTGAGAGGAGGCGAGAAGCAGACGTTTTAGTCTGCTTCTCACGGCGGTCGTGCAGCGCCTGGATTGCGATCCCTGGATCGGGGAGCATCTTTCCTCTAAAATGTGACTGTGGGTCGCATCGGCCTGACAGCGGGGACTAGAGCGCAACAAATCGTACATGTTTGTGCCCATTGACTCGGGCACACTCGGAGCAGGCGCCTTTTCGGAAGTACACGGGTCTCTGAAATTGTTTTGCTAATCTAATTTCGACGTTACCGCGTCATTTCTGATGTTTTTGTACTCTCAAGTTGGTTTTTCAAAAAATGGCGGTATAAAGAATTTCCATTACATGGGCTCAAAGCAGAATGCTAATATCGAGCTCCTTGACAAATCAAGGGAGGCAAGCAGCGTTCGCCGTTGGAAAATGGGAGCAGGGTTATTATTGGTTATTGGAAATGTGTCTTTTCTGTCGCCGACGAAATTTGGAGAAGCTCAATTGTCATCTGGGGCCAAATCCATCACAGGTCATTGCAATATAACTATAAATACGATAAACCACACACAACATAAACCGATAAAGAGCAATGCGCCATAAGCATCATAAATATTTCCTTTTTCGGAATTTGCATTTGCCCTTAAGTATCACTTGCTGGCCATACTAAAAGAACTAGAAACTAGAAAACTAGAAAGTTTTGAAGAAAGGTCCCCATATTGCCGCGTATACCATACCTGTGTAGCTTGAGAAGGATGCCTTGACGCCATGTGGTGTCATAGGCACCCTCTATGTCAAAGAACACTGCGCCTATGTGTCGGATTGCTTTAAATCCCATACGAATCGCAGTGTCAAGAACTAAAAGATTGTCAACTGTGCTGCGATTCTTTCTAAAGCCACACTGGGTGTTTGTAAAAACGCCGTGGTGTTCTAAAAACCAAGTTAAACGGACATTAACCATCTTTTCCATCAACTTAGAGAGCGATGAAGTGAGAGAAATAGGTCTATAGTGTAAAGGATCCAGTCCACTTTTACCCGGTTTCAAAATAGGAACGACTATAGCTTCTCGCCAAGAGGCTGGAAAGTCCCCACTGGCCCAAAGCGCATTAAATACCGCTAATAAAACGCGAAGCACGCGACGCGGCAAATGCTTGACAATGTCCGCATGATGAGCCTTGCCTAGCGAGATTGGTTGATGCAGCGTAGCGTCTCGTGTCGGGGCTGCTAGGAGGCTGCTACAATGGGCCGGTACCGCCCGCATGGTCAAGGCCCTCCTCATGCGGCGATCGGCTGGTCGGCGGAGGTCTTTGTTGTTTATTGGAGTTTAGGGGCGCGCGGACTGCGGTGGTCATTTGGCGCCCATAACGAGCTTGGTTTTACCTATCTAATGAGCCGCATAAATGGTCCCAAAGTTGATGTGTTTGAGAAACAAAGAGATCTGTTGAAATTCCAGAAATGGTGATTTATCTCCTAGCATATCACAGATGGTAAGGGGTAAGTTATGCTGTCCAAAAAAAAAGCGTTGGCGTTCTTCCGCGAGGCGCGGACAAGAAATAAGAATATGGCGAACGGTGAGGACGGCACCACATCGATGACAGATCGGTTTATCGGCTCCCTCCAACATATAGCCGTGGGTTGCGTATGTGTGCCCGATGCGCAATCTGCAGAGAATCACCTCCTCTCGCCGCATTTTCCGTGAACAAGAGAACCACTGACCTAGCTTAGGTTTTATCTCTCTGAGCTTATTACAATCCATCCGATCCCAACAACGCTGCCACTTGTTGCGCAGGAAGGTTTTTATTGCGGGGCAAAAGCCTCTGGCAGGAATAGAAAGAGTGAACACATGGAGCCAGCGCTGCTCGCCTAGCAGCCGCGGCAGCCAACTCGTTGCCCGCGATGCCGACATGACTAGGAACCTAACATAGCATGATTTTCTTTCCGGCCTCATCCAGATGAGTCAAACGTATTAAAATGTCCTGTATAAGGGGACATGACGGATAAAAAGACTTCACACTCAGAACGCTGCTCAGAGAGTCCGTCAAAATGAGATGCAAGGGTTCGTCACCGACTTCAATGAAACATAGTGCCTTAATGATTGCTATAAGCTCTGATGTAAACACCGAAGCGTTTGGGGGCAATGAAAACGACCGGGTGACGCCACCGCTCACAAACGCACAGCCTACACCATCAGAAGTTTTAGAGCCGTCCGTGTAAGTGTGTGTGTAACCCTCATATAGCGCAATACGCTCAAACGCTCTGGACCTCATTATATCTGGCAGCGAGACACCTTTTTTCATTTCAGTCAGAGATGTGTCTGTGAAGGGTGAGATCAAATGCCAGGGAGGAGTGCACAGGTGACGTGATCGCTTCACCCTTCGAATGGGAATTTCGGTTTCCCGCAGTAAGGCTTGTATCCGGGAGCCAAAGGTCACTGCATGCGCCCGAGGTGCATTGCGAACAAACGGCACAGCAGGCCGCGGAAAGACTGCGTGATGTGCGGGGTGACACGGAAACTGTCGCAGCTTCAGTGCATAACGCATGCCAAGCATTTTCCTCCTCGCTGACAACGGCGGCTCGTGCGATTCTACCAAGAGGCTTTGGGTAGGAGATGTACGGAACGCCCCTGTGATGGCACGTAAAGCAGTGCGATGGATGGTGTCAATGATCCGTTTCGTGGACTCACATGCGCTGTCATAAATAAAACATGCATAGTCCAGCTTAGAGCGTATGATTGCCCGATACAGCAGCAAAAGCGTGCTCCGATCTCCGCCATACGACGTGCGCGAAACACATTTTAATACGTTCAAAGATTTAAAACAGCGTTCACGTAGCGTTTTAAGATGTGCCTTATATGTAAGTCGGCGGTCAAAGTATACCCCAAGGTATCTAGCCACAGGCTCAGTTGGGATGCATTGTCCATACATACGGATAGAAAGGTCACCGCATTGCCGGCTACGACAAAAATGCATGGCTACAGTCTTGCTACGTGAAAACCTGAACCCGTTCATGGTACCCCACTTCTCAACGCGGTCAACAGCTAACTGGAGTTGGCGTTCCATCGATGGTGGTCTTGCTGCGCTAGTCCAAATGGTAAAATCATCAACAAAAAGCGCA